TCGGGGGAGATAGGATGGATACATCGCGAAGTTAGTCTCGCGAGAAGAGCAAGAAGTTGGGGCTAGAGGGACGGAAAAGGGGGAAAAAAATGGAACGAGCCCAACCGACATCATGGTGATCCACGTGTTTACACGTTCCTGTTCCCACGTACGTTGAAGCAGGACTTTGCAATCGCGTACTATCTCCTCTCATTATACCGGCTTATCTCGAATCTCTCCAGACACGACTCTGCTTCCGCGCATGAAAATCCTTTGCCAGCAACGTATATATGTAATGTACGGTTCTTGCGATCTGGACGTTTTGTTATGAATTAGTATCCGAAGAATGGGATCAGATGGTACGAGAGACGAAAGTAATATAGAGCTGCTCGATTGTTTTTAGAATATTTTTCAATTTATCACTTTTTTAGTGTACCCATTTAAATAACTTGTATCCGATCTTAACGTTAATGTGTAAACCGTCTCACACTCAAATTGATCGGCGAACCTTAGCAACAAAGCGCGCGAGGTCGTGTTTAAATGTCAGAAAGTTGCAATGTCACGCTAAAACATCCTCTGGAAACCGTGTAAACGGCCGATCGAGTGGGAAAGTGCAACCGAACGAGTCTGCTTCCAGGCTGATTCCCAGAAAACGCGCCACACCCTCCGGACTTTGCGAATCACGAGACACGATTCATGCTCGGAGCTCGCAAGGACGACATCGTTCCTTCCTCGTGCAGAAACCATAGGGGAGACTGTTCTCTTTGCAAGGCTCCATGAATCACGCCGCGCGGAGTTTTCACACGTATTGCGGTAGCGAAAGGTGCTAAGCTGTGTTAGCTCCCAGTTGGCCTATAAGCTACTTTCCTAAATATTCTACGGGATTCTCAGTGATTTTCGCCTGTAGTTTGTCTATCTGGATCACGAAACATTTAATTTGACAAGGAAAAGTGGGTAATGATACTAAAATTACTGTTGTGTGAATCATGAGTAGAATAGTTTAAAAGAATTGTTAACGAGGAGTTTGGAGAAAAGTTCATTTATCCTCTATGTAAGAAAGTGAAGTAACTCAATCGTCGCGTTCCTCATCGATGAATGAATAATAAACGACTACTACTTTCCTGGAATGATGACTGTACTAATCATCGTGTCACGATAAATAATCGGAAAACCGTAAATGGTTCAATGTCAATCGTCGGAAGGCGTAGATCATGTCCTCGTAATAACTGTAACTCGTGTGAACGTAAGACCTCGTCAGCTCCCACTTCATTACAGATGCACTCCTGTGTTACGGAGACGTGTCCGCATAATTAACGACGGACCTGCGATGAAAGTTTACTTAGCTAGAATGTATCTAAAATCAGAGAACATAAAGAAATATGTTAGAAGTATTGATTTCTCGATCCGAGGACGTCCGTTGCCGTGTATTAAGAATCGAATTTACCATGTGAACTGGAATTCCGATATGACTCTCAGGGGCACCTTGATTGCAAATTCCAAACACCGAAGCGTAAATGTTTGTGTAATTTAATTAACTCGAAATTCCTCGGTGCAGAAATTCCGAACACGTTTGATGGTCACCGGACCAGGTTAAATTAATTTCCCCTTCGACCGATCTTGTTTGCAACGCTTCTCAATCAGTTACTGATATTTTGACACGTGGCTCGGAGGTATGTTCATTAACTTACGAGCTCCTTCATGGCGGAGCAAATTGATGGATCACGTTTAACCGACGCTGGAGTCTACTACGATGCACATGATGCAAAAATTTTAGAGAAATATGTATACAAATTTTGGAGGAGACAGTTTAGCTTACAATATTTATAGTACTATTAGTGTCGATCACAGAACATTTACTGTAACATTAAACTTAAATTTAACATATATGACTCGTAAAGATAAGATGTTAAGTTAAACTACTTTAAAATTCACGAACTTCTCTAAGATTATCGAAGATTACCCTAGAAGACCCGGGCTTTCAAGAGCGTCATCCAACTCGACACTTTAATGGTAGTTACGAATGTCTATGCAAATTCGCAGTTTCGTACAGCGTGGCACAGACATCCATTTTTCCCTACTAATACACTGCTGGAAACAATTAAATGATTGTATATTGCAGCTGCTGTGCCCATTAATAATTCCTGTAAAGTTTTTTGACTCGATGAAGTTAATCGACTCGGGCACCGTCGTCTGAGAATTAAACAAAAACAGTAATAAACATTACACGAAGTTTCCAAGATATATTCACTACACGTACCTAAAATAAAAAATTTAGTAATAATCGATTCAATCTTCGATAAAAAATAAAGTACGTTCCAAAATATCTATATTCAGACAAAAAAAACCAAATGTAATGGTCGAAACGGACGCAAACAGCGCTGTCATCAAAAGCTTCCTATTCTCGAAGGGTTAAAGTATATCTGTACAGTGATAAATATTCCCGATTCGAGGGTTCCCTCGACAACCGACGAAATGTTTCCCTACCGAGTGATCCGGTTACCGTTTCCACAATTTAACTCTGTACTACTGCGGCCGACTGTCCCCGTTCCTTCCCCGCTTGTCACTCTCCTTTCAACCCCTTTCACCCTCCGAAAAGCCTCTACCTTTCGTCGTTCCCTTCGAACGACCCCCATCACAGCCTACCTTCCACACGGTGTGTCCCTTCTCTCCGTGTTATTTTCCTACCCAAGATCGCATCACCAGAGTTGGGCACAATTTTATTCGAATAATACATAGTCCAAAGTAACAGTATCTAAGAACGTTACTTCGAGCTTGAAACCGCTTAATGAGATTAAATAAATTATTTGCCAAATGTGAAAAGAAGAAGTATTATTTTATCCTAAAATTTGGAATTTCCACGTTTAGAATAATCGAATTTCAAAATCTGCTGAATACGCGTGCAATTGAATAGGATCTGGTTCCCGCGTCTGTCGACGACATTCTGTTTCTACTTACTATTAACACTAATATCGAAAATTGAATATCTCGAAAACTCGTACGAGACAATTTTATTCTATATTTTCGATTTATGTTTACACATAGAATAATATCATTTTTGGTTGTATGTGCCATCAGTTGGGAAGCACCCTGTATATAACCAACAACTTTAACATTAACCCTTGACACTCCACTGGCGCTGCAACGTCAACATAAATCACCGAAAAATCTATATCATATCGATTCAATGGAAACTAAACTAACAAATAAACATCAATTACAACCACTGATAAATCTTTATCGGAAAAGTACAACTTATTCAGTTTTTACTCGATCTTACAGTCACTAGTTTCAGAATGAAAGAGTCCTCGAGTACAAAAACATAAATATTTTGTGAAATAATAGGCTGAAAGAAATATAATTGGGTTCAGAATCCCGAGCTCTATCGCTGTGCTAAACCTCCATTAAAAAATCAACGTTACACCTGGCGAGTTTTCTTCGTAAGCGTTTGAGAGCCGTGTTAGTGCGTGCGAACGCGAGGCCAAACGAACGCTGCAATCGCGCGCGCGGTCAAGAACATCAAGGAAGCATATTAATAGCGGCGATTTGCGTCAGTCGTCGAGTGGGGGTTGCCGGAACGACGGAGGAAATGGACGACGATTAATGTCAAGGGACCCGTTCGATTCGATTCATATCTAGATAGAAATCTTCGCGCGGGAACCAGGCGATTTTGCGTATCGTTCGGATAAGGGGAAGGGGGACACTTGGATTCCTTTTGGTCTTGGAGTAGGAGATGTGAGTTACATCGATGAGGGTGTGAATTTCACGAAGGTTGGATTCTGTAATGAATTTCGATTGAGGTCCCGATGGTGATCTTCGCGCGGCAAATGGGGCGGTTTTCTGTATCGCTCGAAAACGAGGGGATGCGTGATTTGCTTTTTTTCTCGGTCCAGGAAGAGGGTGTCGGTAAATTACTTTAATGTGCGCGCTGATGCTGAACAGGTTAGATTCTGCGGCGATCTTTTTTGTTTTATTATACAGGCTGATGAAAAAAAAGGGTTTGGAAGTTTGAGAGTAGATAGTAGGGCAAGCCGAAAATATCATCCCGTAACGTTTTTTTATTCTGTTTCGAGAATTAAATATAGGGACATTTTCTAATGATTCTATCCTTTCTACATCGCGTACCTACCGATAGTACACGTTCAATACTATTAGCTGTACAAATTAATCCATTGTCCCCCAATCAATTACTGACTCGAAATTATAATTATTTTTTCGAGAGGAGATTCGCCAACTGCCCGAGTAATGTCGTAAATCTCTAAAAAAAAATGATAGTGAATATTTTCAACTGTATGTTGATTTTCTTGTAAATAAACAAAAAATCTCTGAAAAGAAGGCCACGAATTAATTCGTCCAGCTATATCTTTAATATTTATACTCAAATCGAATCTGCCGTCCTAAATTCAGCCCCACCAAAAAAGGTCCACTGGATCTATTACACGACCAAGACCCAGGAAGATGCTCCGAAAGCCCCAAATTCTCGAACAGACTATGTGTAAATTAGAACGCGATGAAGAAAGTCAGTGAAAAAAAAAACTCGTTCGTATCCCTGTTATTGTATACGTCTTCCACCCCGGAGATTGGGGCGCTTCGAATTCCTCCGTAACGCAAGCCAATTCATTAATCTTCATCCCCCTTTTAGTCGGTCGACGAGTGCCCAGATGCCGGAAGAATCAGCCGGGCAAGGGACTAGAATATTTACCAGATCCGTCGCGAAATTTACTTTCTTCGGCCCAACGAAACACGATCATTAACATACATTTCCCTCGGCTCCTTAACCGTGACGGCGCACGGTCAGCGAAGCCACGGACGGTTTCGAGAGCGCGGCCCGACATTAGCATGATAAAAGCGGGGAGAATCACGGAGGAACAGTTTCCAGCGAGCCGAGGCGGACGCGTATCGTGCGTGCTTCGCTGGCCGTGTATGTGTTTACGAACGCGTCGAGAAACGTGCAGTTGCGTTGTATGCACTCTCGTCCGCATCTCGATTCCATATTCACGTGCCGTTGCGTCTGATGATTGCAGCGACTGTGGAAAGCCGGGAACGCCAAGGAAGTGATCGGACCCATCAGTGTGGTTCATCGTTTCGTGGACATGGCGGAACAGACGGCCGAATTCTACAACGAGACCACGAAGAAAATGGAGGAGGTAAATAACAAACTTTTCTATTTTGTATTTTGTCGGGGATAGTGTCGGGCATTTGCCTTCAGTTTATTAAGATTGGACGAGGTCAGTTGAATCTTTGGTTAGTTTTAAAGTGGAATTTTTCTTATTAATTGAAATCCACCAGGTACCAAATTAGAATATTATTGTAAGTATCAGGAAATTTAAGACAATTGGGCATTTGCCTTTAAAATTGAGAGATTTGATGATGATCTAAAGAGGGTCAGGTTGAATTTCTCGGTTAGTCTTAAGGTAGAATTTCCTATTAACTAAAATCCACCAGTAACCAAATTAGAATATTATATATCAGGATATTTAAATTTCTGAATTAAGAACTATCTATTTCCCACAATTTCGCAGGAAGTTTAAACGTGAAATTTCCTGTAGGCGTCAGACGGGTGTTTGTGACAATGAGTTGCTACTAAAATAGAAGTTACACGTAGAAAACAATGGACTAAAATAGAGAATACAGATATAAGTCGTACGTCGTTTAAACGCAGACGTACTCATTGGACGCTTAGGGGAAATCCCACCTTTAAGCTTTTTAGCTTAGGTCCTCAGGGAACTGACGAAAGGTACCTAATGGTAAATCGTGAAAAATAGGTACTTTTTAATCAAAGAACTGGAATGTTCTCGTTATTAATATTTTATTTTAAGAGTTCGTAGATTTTATTTGATCGATAGGATTCAAACACGAAGTTTCATTGATTTCTTCTTCTTCCTGTCGACAGGTCCATGGCTGTCTGCCCGCTATGGGATACAGTTTCGCAGCGGGAACGACCGACGGACCGGGTTCCTTCGCATTCGAGCAAGGCACAACCACGGCCAATCCTCTATGGAACGCGGTTAGGAACCTATTGGCGGTTCCGACGTCGGAGGATGTCAAGTGTCACGGCGCGAAACCGATTTTGCTCGCCACTGGACGCGTGAGTCCTTTGATAATATTTCCTGTGCTCACGAAAATTCGAGATTCTGAATACATTGCTTTTCTGTTCGAGTAACTTTACATCTGTTCCGAAAAAATACTGGAAGGTCTTAATTATCTCATGTTAAATTCTCATATGAATCTCAATATTCATATTAAAGTATTTTAATTTAAAGCATTACTTTTCACTCGGTAATACTCCAATGAAAACCTTGAAATCGATTTTCTCCAAATAGCATTTTAGCCTATAATCTTCTTCCATCAATGGTCTCAAATATAAAGAGTTGTTTCTGTGATTTTGTGATGGTTTGAAACGATTTTCAGATGACCCTACCGTACGAATGGCAACCGAAAGTGGTGTCGACGCAGGTCGCGCTGATCGGGAACGTTGTCATCGCCGGTGTGCCTGGGGAGTTCACAACAATGTCCGGAAGAAGATTGCGAGAGGCTATCAAAACGGTCATGAACGAAGCGTCGGACGACGAAATCCCCGTCATAGTCGCCGGTCTTTGCAACACTTACAGCGATTACATCAGTACACCTGAGGAATATCAAGTAAAATCACGAGTCGTTTTTCACTTTACTCGCGCCGGATATCAGTCATTTTCCTTCCATTAAGAACAGATGCATGGGGGTAATGCAGTGTGAACACAAAAAAGGTTAACGTCCTTAAAGTTTAAGAAAAACTAGCAACGAATTTATAAACGCTTTACTAAATGGGGTGATCGTCAATGTTATCAGAAAGCAATAAACGTGACTCCATTGTCCTTTGAAAGATGTCGAGAAACTCTTAAATTCATTATTAGATGATTAACTAAGTCCTGTAGATTTTTATACTTTAAAGTAATACCGTTAAATTATTTAAAATTTAACTTTACACCTCCTTTTTGTCATAAGAATTTATTGTAACAGGCGTATATTTGTCCACTATACATTCAAATAACAGAAAGAACATACAATTATAATAAAATTGAACTTAATTAAGATTGAGACTAAAAAAAGAACGAAAGAAAACAGAAAATAAGAATATTATATTGTATACATATATACACTGTAATATGAAAATGAAAGTTGTCTTCAAGTGTTAATGTACAAACTAAGAGATAAAATTCATACTTATTGTTTGTAATTTAATTTTCCAGATTCAGAGGTACGAGGGTGCCTCCACAATATTCGGACCCCACACTCTCACTCTGTACTTAAAACAATATCAAGAGCTTGTAACAGCTGCTATTTTGGTATGTAACATACCTTCGTAACGGTACAGCATAGTTTTACACATTTTATTGCAATGGAAAATTTTTTATTATTCCAGAAAAAGCACGTGGAACCCGGTCCCATGCCCCCAGATCTACGAAAGAAGAATCTGCTCAGTTTCGTGACACCTGTTCTCTACGACACCCCAAAGTGGGGCCGGAATTTCGGCGACTGCATCGAGCAACCACAGAAAATTGTCAAACCCGGCGACATCGTTACAGCTGTTTTCGTGAGTATCGTCCCGAGAAGTAATATTTCTTTCGTTTCGAACAACCGAAACGATGACCGTGACCCAATACCAGCAACGTTACAGTAGAGTCTCGAAATTTCGATCCTTTCGAATTCGGTTTGAATAGAATCGTGGAGAATTTCATTTCTAGAACAACGTTAAATTGGTTGGCTGGTTGTCGGGCAAAATAAACGATTTGTATTCACAATACGAACATAAACAGTGCACCAGGCGATGGAAATGCAGCGTATCTCGATGAAAATACAGCATAACTCGATGAAAATTGGGAATCGAATTTACTATACGCTTCTCAAACTAATCTTATTATAACAGAGTGATTGAAGAATTCTATGTTCATCTAAAATTAAGAACTAGAAATTTGTGTATTAGATACTTTTTTGTATCCTGATTAAATTTGCAGTTGAAAATTATTATTCCAAAGGGAACTTGATTTAGACTTTGGAGTTAGAGATATTTAACATGTAGATTTATATTGAAGATTTGTTAGTGTCTTCAGGTGTGGTTGTAAAGTAGGTTTGTTAAAGAAAAATCCTAAAATGACGTTTTATATTGATGTATTTAAAACTCGATTATTTATTACTCACGGTGTGCAGATTTCCGGTCACCCGCGTAATAATTTAATGACTGAAAACACATTCCTGACTGTCGAGAGATTGACGGACGACGAAGTGTGGGAACCCGTTGCAACGGACGCCAACTGGGAAACTAAGTACGTAAATTTCTCCATTTATTTGCCATCTATATTCATGACTGTCATGTGAACATCAATATTGATGATATTTCGAAGCTGTCAAATATGTGCATTTAAATATTGTAAAAGAACGTATCACGTGTCACTCGTGCAACAGTAAGGGTATTAGGTCATTGCCCATGAAATGGCCAATTTTACTGACAGATGTATATTTTACGTTACTTTGATGAATGAACATTATTAACATAGCTACTTTCTTTATTGCAAAAGTACACAGTGTACTTTAATCGTTTCAAGTTATCTAATATAGCAATAAAAAATAGTTAATTAATTAAATTTCTTGCACGTGCACTAAAAGACAGACATTCATGCAAAAACTTATAAATAATCTTCCATAAATATGCATCGATGTTTCTGTTAAACATTACTGTTTAACTGACGACAGCATTCAGTGAATATAACATGAATATATCACTTGTATTTCAATGGAAACACTTGCACAGAGTTTATTTAATTCTTACTTCGGCTAATAAAATTCGTATAATATTCAATATAACATCTAATGTCGGCAATGCAACGGCCATTTCGTTGTGCAATAAGCTAATGTAAACAAAGTCAGTGACTACACGGTACTACATGTGGCCGAATGATCAGCGTTAAACCATTTCCATTAATATTATCGACGCAGATTCATATGGAGAAGGATGTCAGTTGTTCTTGGTTCGAGTCAGGTGACAATTACGTGGCAAGTCCCGGAAGACGTCAAACAGGGTGAATATCGAATCAGACACAACGGCTACTACCGTTACATCCTCGGCGGCGTCTTCCCTTACTACGGTGTGTCGAACCATTTCCAGGTAAATCGATCATCCTCCAAAAATTCTATCCATCTATATTCATTTCGTTTTCAAAATAATTTTTCATCAATATTTATTGGGTTGCAATAAACACCCTGTACAATGTTTATTTAAATTATATAGTGTCACGAAGGTAAACCATTAGAAAAGTGTTTTTTTTAAAACAATCTTTAAAGGTCATTTTACATAATACTGACTGTTCTGGATTATCATCCCGAACTCGGATCCGCGCTATCTTATAGGGAGAAATGCTTCAGAACCTCGTAAATTCGTGTTTTGCCCGAAGCCCGAGCAACTATCCTCAACAAACTCCCTTTCCTAGTGGTGAGGATAATGCCTAGACAATAATCGTGTAGAACAAGCCAGACGATAATCGAGAGGAGTCTGTATGAATACTTATTAGTGCTGGATAAATTAATATTATTTTGTGATCTGAAGAGGAATGAATCGTCATGCTAGGTTTCGTAGCTTTTTCTATAATTATTCGTTGGACTAAACAAGTCGATTGTCTTGTAAATACCGAGCTCCGCTTGTAATAGATGATAAATTTTTAATATGATAAGTGTATGGAACTTAACAAGTTAAAATATTGGATCAGTATTATCTTAGAATGTCAGTTTATCGTTGTATTAAGCCAAGATAACACATAATGAGAGTATACTGTAGTAAGTATAGAATACCTTAGGTTGAATAGGGTTTGGATTAGTCCTGCGTTAGAAGCTGACATTTCGTATGTTCCAAACGAATACAATTTCCTCGTAAAATACACATAGTCGGTTAATAAGATTAAATTGTTCTCTCAAGATAACGCTTCTAGTATTTCCACGTTGATTTACATGAAATTGCTCGTTCAATTTTTTTTTTTCGTTTGCAACAATATCACGAGAGAATCAATCGAATCATTTTTAGTTACATCATCGTATCGCATGAAATATCCAGGATGGCCGCCGTTCACGATTTTACACACTCGTGTTTGGATTAATGTTTCTAAATTTTTACAACGATTCTAGATTACGGTACAGCCTTTTGATACCTTTTGGCACTAATTTACTATACAATGCGTAGACTGTACAGGGTGTTTCCATTTTCGGATGTCTATTTCGATACCAATCACGTTACATCGTGTATCGACCGTTTTCAGGTGGTAGTTCCTGGGCCGATAACTCGCGGACGACGGTTCTATGAGTAACTATAGGGGTGTCGGAACCTGAATGAAATGCTTACGCTTAATTCCCGATTGGATCAAACTGAATTCAGTCGTGATCGCCATAAATATAGGAAATATATTTCGCACGTTTGTTTTATAATGTTCTGTACAGTGTTTTATATGTATGTTGATCTCTTTGTTGCGAACTTTCGATCTAACGATCGAATTCGGTGGCGTATTTTTTAAGGAAAATATGTATAAAAAGGAAAGCAATGTGATCGTATAATGGGATAGTAAATAAATTGAAATCATTTGATACCTCTCTAGTTCATTCCGAAAAGATTTTGCTATTATTGCTTCATAATCCATTAACCGAATCACTTTTCCATTATTCACGTAGTATTTATATATTTAATACTTTCCGTTACTCGGTTAATACCCCATTATGCAGATCAGAAAGAAACTGTTTTCCTATTGAAAATTAATCAAATTTCTTCCACACGCTGCATTTCTTTCGATCGAAAGCAATTCTAGGGAGCCGTCTCCGTTAATCCCCTCGATATAAAACAATCATAACTTCGATATCGTCCAATCGTAGCGTTCTTTTTTTTTAATAAATTGATTCGATTGCTATGGAAAGCTGCTACAACTCAGTCACGGTCGTATAATTTCCGTTTTTAATACGACCACGCTGGTCAAGATAAATAAACGACGATAAGATCTAGACGTTTTCAGATTCTGATATAAAATAATTTATATGTTTGTTACCTTATTATTGACAGGGAGACTATGCAGGATAAACACGTCAAATATTTCAAAGACAGCTTACGGTTATAAAATCATAAATCAGTAAAGTTTTTATAATATACATAAATTGTGATTAAAAAATAACATGTCTCCTTTAAACAGTTTACCCTTTAAATTCTGAATTATATTATCGTTACTTTTTCATCGCAATTTTTATTCTACATACGGTTCTTGACAACATTTTAATATAAGTGGTATTGTAGAATACTGTCAGGAAATACAAGGTTCAAGTGATCTTGAACTATAAAGAAGAACATTTAAAGGTTGTAAGAATTATAAAAAAAAACATACTTCTTTAAGGTATTTTTCCATCGTTTTCGAACCAAAGGAGTCCTTCCACATGCTAAATTACTACCTTGCACCGCATACATAATGAAAAACCATTGACCAGACGCGAGTCACGGTCGATCAGAAATTTTTCCACGTGCACGGCCACGTATTGACGCTTCTTTTGATCCGGCAAAATCGAAAGGAGAAAATAACAGGGCACACACCGAACGTTCCGTAAGGAATGCGGTCGCGAATGCATTCACCAAGGTCCCCAATTAAACGTACATCCGGTTTCGGTCCAAAGTATCTCTCGGTGTCCAGTACCGCTTCGACGTTGCTCTCCGATTACTGGAAGTTGTTTCCATCCAGCGGTACTTCCAAACCGCTGGAACATTATAATTGGACGCATCTGGTCATCGATGGGCGGTCTTAACGATAATCGTAACGAAGGAACGCTAATTATCGCGACAGAAGTAAACGCATTAGTTAATATCATAATGTATTCGATCTGAGAAACATTCGAGCATTAAATTAAAAAATGTTACCGTTGATTCAAGTAAATATTATTGATGATATAAAGATTAATTATTGAAGTTTATTAAATAGTGTTGTTGATACACAAACAGGATTTGAAAAAAATTAAAACTGGATCGATATTTGCAGATCACCCAGTGTATTAATCGAAACGTGTTCCATTGCAAGCCACCTTCTATATTTGTGTCGTCGAAGCCGGTACAAAAACTTCCGCCGCGAGGTTCCCCACGTATCTTCGTGTACATACACGAAAGTAATAAGAAATACGTACACTCCACCGAGTCACGTGATATATAGTTCCCCTCGAAAAAACATATCGAGGCAACCATCGTTCGTAGCCTTTCTTTGTACAGCACAGAGAGCACGACCTTTTGGCACTTTATGAAGCAACGCGAAAATTCCATCGGTTTAGGCATCGGGGGAAAAAGAAAAAGTGAATATACACGAAGTATATAAGCTTTACATGTATACGTTCATAATCTATGGATCACTACAAAAACGATTTGAAGAAAAAAGAGACCAAGCAAAAACATTTCACAAGATATGTGCAAATAACAGGTTAACTAAGTAATTAATGGTACAGGAAATTGTGTCAGTCATTTTTGCAGCAAACAGAATTTCATATGACAGAAGATCGCAATCATTTGAAAAATTCATCCAACTTTCTTGTGTTTTCAAATACTCCTTTGTTTTTCGAGATTAACGTATCATTTAATAACACAATTTTCATAGTTTAAAGGTTCAGCCCATCCTAACCACTTCCAGAATCCATCCACCCGTAAAAAAATTGACAAAGGTACCTATAATTTTCAAACGGTCATGGTGGGCTAACCTCTTAAACCGAGAATAATACCATAGGAAGCAGTTCGTCGATAAAAGTAACAGAAAGTAGCCATAAGTCGAGGGCGATTTAAACGATAGCAGGGCCTGAATGAAGACAGCCACCGTGGACGGCTCATTTGAATCAGGAAATCCGCTGGTAAATGATTCGGTAAAAGAAACCGTAAGAATGACGTCGGGGTTCCGCACGATGGGAAACTTGCATCGTCATCGAGGGGTTAAACGGCGTGGACCGAATTCGACAGTTCTGAACAGGAGTTCGCTGAAAGCGAGGTTCTCGTTCCTAGTCGGCAAGAAGATAAAAGTATACGGGGGAGAGGAACGGTGGCTCGTCTCCACTGTGAAATGAACCGAGGACATCGGTGAAAAAGGGTTGGATTGCTCGAGGACTTTCGTCGGATTACATGTACAAGGTCAGTGGAACGATCCATGAACACTTCTTTCGTTAAAAAAAATCAAATTTATTGAAAATTCTTGTGAAATAATTGTTAAAGAGTAGAATAAAAATGTTTGATTTGGCCTGGGGAAGGTGTTACAGAAATTTACATAACATCCAATCGTTAGAAAAACGGTTTTACTGTGACTACTAGTGCCATCATTTATCGTGAACAAACACATGATAAAAATATTTTAAAGAATGTTTTAAATAATCACTATTGGTTCTTGATTTTATGAATACAAATTTTTTGTACAAGATACCAAAAACATGCATTGAACGGATTAAGTACCGTTTTAAAAAATGTAATTTCGTGCTAAATCATCTTTAAATCCCTACAATTTGTTACTTTGACAAACTATAACGGATAAAAGCACTTTTGAAACGTTGAACTTTAAGGCAATATAAGATGGAAACATGTCTTTTTACTACCAAACGGTAACACTTCCGATTTTCATTTAAATTTGATTTCCATGCAATTGGCACCTTGCGAGGCAGCCATTAATAATGTATATAAATATTTATTCTATGCAAATGATGCAGTTAATCGCTTTCTAGCAGCGTTCGCATGGATGCGATTGCACCTTATCTGTAATTATTCACAGCAACATACAGATACTCTTGGCCTAGAGGTTCGACCTACACATGTCACATGATTCATTTTTTCCATATTTATTATCACGGTATCGTACAATCATCCTGAAAATAGTCGATATCGTAATTATATATAAACATTCAAATTGCCTGCAATTTGAATAGGTATATCTGTACAGAAAAAATACTGGTAATAAAGATCGTTGGAAACGCTTTAATGTTCACCAAGGATCCGACGAGGGATAGAGTAAACATGAGAACTATAATTTAAAACCCACGTACTCCTGGCACGGCGTCTGCTTCTGATCACTAGTTTAACGATTTCTGTAATCCCTCAGATCCTCGGGAGGATTGATTTCAGGATCGACGGATACCACAAGACGACGCTTAATCTTTGGGAATTAATGGGCTCGTTCCTAGGCTTTAAATTTCAGCCAGCAATCAATACCTAATGAAACATTTTTTTTGTTTTTTTTTAAATGACTTCGAAATTCGCTAAAGAGTAGAAAATAATTTCTATGTTTATTATTTATCTAGAATGCAACAACGGTTAAGAAAACTTATTTTCTCTTACTAAAGAGCGTATTACAGACATTGTAACTCTAGAACTACCGACGATAAACGCATATTTACTTCGATCGGTGGATAAACGTGAAAAATTTTTGAAAATTTAGAAATTTAGAAATTGACTAATTTCTTCACTTTCATATCATAATAAAAGGTGCAAATGATCTGAGTAAATGTATTGTCATAACATTTTAATCGTCATTGTGAGAGTGTATTGACAAGTCATTTTGACTTGCTTGGTAGTTCTAGTGTTAATATATATTCGAAATAATTTAAAATTTTTCAAAAATTCAAATATCATATTCATTTATTTAATAATAATAATAATCATTCAATAACACTTTTAAAATCCTTCTTAAAATCCCTTATAAAATAAAGTCTATCGGTCTCTCGTCCGACGAAAAAAAGAAATGCTTTCTGACAGTCCGTCGCTCGATCACCGAGGAACGCGATCTTATTATATTATTACGATACAAAGACCGTCGTTTTTTATTTCAGCTCGAAACGACACGCGAGCTTCACCTTTTCCCCGGGTTTTTCACGGAGAAAAAAATATCCCCCTTCCCCCTCCACCAACACACCCCGTGGAAGATTAATCCGGCCGACATGTTTGTCCGCCCCTGTGAGGCGCCGCGAGTCGCAAAGTTCGTCCATCCCCGTCGGGAGGACCAAAAAAAAAAACAAAATAACAGTTATTTAGAATCACATAATCGAGCGATCCGACGATGGATGCTCGAATAAATGACCGAGGTAGGGGGGCTCGGTTTCGGTACGCGTGTAAGGAGCACGAGGGAACAACCGAAGGACCCTTCCGTTGGATCGTAGGTGCGCAGAAGCGCCGGTGACCGGCGTACTTCGTCACGACTGGTGTCCGCCAGTCGTGATTCGCGCGGCGACCGTGGCGGTTCATCGTTTCCGCAATATTTCCAAGTTTTGCGCCCGGCAAAAGTCGATCGCACTCACCTCCATCCTCTTTCTCTCCCTTTTACCTTCGTCGAATATCCTTGTCGAATCATAATACAGTGAGACCACGTTCTTGTGTAGCCAAACGAAACCACAGAGAACCGGACCTCTGAAGAAAAACTGGTAGCCAGTGACCTGGACCGTAAATGGACCAAGCAACTTTAATCCTCGCAATACTACAAGCACAGTCCATCCGTCGAACGATCTCCAATTGCCCAAGATAATGTGATCAATTTAGAAGAGGATTGTTCGGTTGGGTACAGACCTAGTCAACCGTGTGATGTTCGAACAATTAGTATAGTGTGAAGGACAGAATGTTGTTTGATCAGTGAGGATCTAGGTGAATTGGTGGAATGATCAGTCTACAATGGACGACCCAATAGCTACGTCCCCTAGCAATAGCTATCTCAGCATCCAGGAATATGTGCAGAATTTCTCGAGTTACTACAACGACACTCAGGACAGTGATCCTTCCAAGATTGGTTATTTGGACGGCTACCCCCGTAGAGACTCTCTGTACATCGTGGTGCCAGTGACCATTATCTACGTGTCGATCTTCGTCACGGGTACGATCGGGAACATTAGCACGTGCATCGTGATCGCACGCAACAAGTCGATGCACACGGCGACCAACTACTATCTGTTCAGCCTGGCGGTGTCCGACCTGTTGCTGCTAGTGTCCGGTCTGCCAGCGGAGATATATCTAGTATGGAGCAAGTATCCATACATTTTCGGGGAGGGATTCTGTGTTCTACGAGGCCTGGCCGCTGAAACATCCTCGAATGCCTCGGTGCTGACTATCACAGCGTTCACTGTTGAGAGATACGTGGCTATCTGTCATCCGTTCTTAGCTCAGACCATGTCCAAGCTGACCAGAGCGGTCAAGCTGATCCTCATCATTTGGGTTGTGGCTTTGTCCTTCGCTTTGCCCCAGGCCCTGCAGTTCGGTGTCATCCAATACGCCCTGGACCCAAACATGGTCATGTGCACCATGAAGAGGATCATACTGCAACACTCGTTCGAGCTGTCCACGTTCCTCTTCTTCGTGGTGCCCATGAGCTTGATCACTGTGCTATACGCGCTTATTGGGCTGAAGCTAAGGAAATCGAATATGATGAAGAGGAGTCGGGGCCGAGGGGAGGGCGGCAGCTGTAGACACCATCCCGGCAGGTCGTCGAGGAGGGTACTGAAAATGCTCGGTGAGTGGATTGTGTTTGGATGTCGGCTACACCTAAAGGGAACCCTGGGTAGGTGTCCCCTTCCGATTTTGTTCGTTCTCACATATTTTTTAGTACTCAAAAAACTAGGACCACTGTTTTTTTTGTATTTGCGGATATTTGGTTTAGAGGGGTGAAATCTCCGATCAGAGATTTAACTTTTTGTACTTCGAGATTTATTGAGCCTAAGTGAATGGATAACTGTCAGATATAGAGTTTACGGTGTTGTATGTTGCTCTAGCAGCGCCATTGGAGTGCAAAGGGTTAACGCGTAACAGAAATAATTGGAATTTTTTTGGAGAAATATTGTATTCTTTTGAATTGTAGTGGGTGTAAAATATTTTTTGTCATAGAAAATCTAACGTGGTATACTAATTTTTCGGAACGGTTTCATTGATAAGGGTAAACTACCCCCATGGTGTTTTTTTTCTCCACAGAAAAAATTTGTTTCAGGTGTATTGAAGAAATAATACTTATTCCGTAAGGTGATCGAGAATTAAAGGATAGTTACTTTTTGTGTTGTCGGGGAATAAATTTGCTTTTTGGGGCGAATCACCCCCTCAACATCACAGGCCAAATTATTACAGAAAATTATGGTCTTTATTTATTTTATGTTCTTACGGTTATTATGCATTAAAATGACCACGTTTAATGGAAATTTTATGTAATATATGTATTTTCACGGCAAAACATTCTCATATTTCTATGCTTTTCAAATTTTCCAAAAGGACATACAGATTCTTGGATCGTTTTAGTCGATTATATCCAAGATCGTTGTATAAATCTCTTGAATTATTCCGCGAGGAAAAAATAAATCCTATCGTTATTTTTCTTTTGAAGTGCCTGACCATGGACGGTTATATCACTTGGATTCACCGCGGAATATGCTATAATCCCGCTATACAGAGGCGTATATTTCCATTTAAACGGACCGCCCTCGAACATCCGAAACACCTTCATGAAATTTCGTTCGATCTATCTTCGTATCCTTCTTCTAAGTATGCAAATGTGAACTGACGTGCTTTCGAGAAAATGTCATCGATAGAACGTACATGTTCATTTCGGGAACATCGATTCATATATTCTGTATGATACTCGAAGAATTCAAAATTATAATGATATCCCTTACACAGTACGTACTATATAGATTCTGTATTCTAAGTTTGCCAGTGAAACTTGGACGAAGTTTGGGTTAATTTTTGTTTAAGCTGCCGTTGGTTTTCGATCAATTTGAATTAAAATTTTCCTCGATTTCCGTTATGTTCTGTTATGTTTTAAAATTGTAAAACAAAATAATAGACATTGTAGAAAACCTTCTGTAACCAGGAAAAGAAGAAATGATAAGGTTCTGAAGACTCGGTCGTATAATAGTTCACAAGGTTGCAGAAAGCACTAGCTCGAGATCTCTAATAGAATTTAACCACCATATATGTATACGGAACATGCTTCCTCGAGTGTTTCTGTTTACAAGAAATTTATAACTAATTACCCGAGTTAAAATTCGTATACCTGATCGTGGGACCAAGAGTTTTGAAATCAATTGAATATCAACGCGATGTTTCGATGTCTTTGTTTGCAAACACTCCACCTTCAGAGGAAAGTCAATGAAAAACATGAAATTCGTTTCATGTGGGAACAAACCTAGGGTTCGACACTTCCTTCGTTTGTAAAGTTTCGCGATTTACCTTGAAGTCGATTTTCTAGATCACTTTGACTAGATATACACTATCCACTTCACGAAATATCATCGAAGTTGTGAGTTCCTTCGCGCTGGGACTTTCGAGGAATTTTATTCTTGATGGTAGTAGTACATTTCTAAAGGACAATTATTCACCTATATTTTATTTAAACTGTCGATTTTCCGTTCGAAATATTTAAATACCAATTAATTCAAAACGTTTTTAAGTGCCAATTAAATCAAAACAGTTTTTTAAATACCAATTACTTTTTCAGCCAATTACCTTCAGTGGATAATTGCGAAGCATCTGATGTGTCAGGTACACGAGAAATTCCTTTTGACCGATACAGGAGAATGTTACCAAAATGAATTAGTAAGTTATTGGTCGTATTAGGTCCACCCGAGAAAGAGATAATTACCACCCATTTACTATATTGTGATTAATCCCCGTGACATTTTGAAATGCATGCGAAACGAATGGAACATTTACGTTATTGACTCCGCGATTTATGACGGCATGATGCAGCAATAAACAGTCGATGATAATCAACGTCAATCACGTAGTCGATCAGTGCCGATAATTAATGTAACCAAACTATAACGCGTGCATAGGTACACGCGTTCCAATGTCAATTTTAACCGGAAACAATTCCCATACATATGCAACATCGAGAAAAACGATGGAAACTATTTCTCAATTAACAACATAATTCAACTGACATTCCGATAACAAATGCGATTTCAATGATTCTAGTGAATCATCACACGTACGTGATATCTTGTATTATGTAATAGCTTCCTCTCTGGGGCACCTAAACAATCTTCCATTTCGACTGAAGCTGAATTATAATATACACGTTCGAGAAATGATCTCTTTGGAATGACAATAGAATGTACGCACGTCGTTTGACGAGTTGTCAACGACTCACAGGCGAACTTCCTCTCATTATTTCATGCAGATTGACAGAACATTTTGCATATGTACAATCGAAGGATATGCTCACCTGTCACGTGATTTATATTCAAATCGGCGGATCCTTTGAACGTGATAAATTGCCTTGTTATTTTTCCGCGGGATCGTGACGTATTGCTATGATTCCACGACGGTGTTTGTGTGTTGTTTTTTTTTCCAATACTCTGACTAATTTCATTGACAATCCTTCCGTCTGAATTAATATTATTGAACAATCAATTTAGGACACACCTTTCACCCGTATCGTGAATTCTTCTTCACTAATATACAGTGTCGGATTAATTCTGAAGTATAAAAAAAAATATGTTTCTACATATTTTACTCTATTTAGGTTCAAAATAAGATTAAATTCTTTTTCATTTATAAAAAACATGAACAATACCAATTTTAAATTTATATTTTAATTGAAGTTGGTTCTTCTGAAATCTATTTTTTTAGAATAATTATTTATGAGAATACTGTGCATCATTGACTGTGTCATTACAGATACAAAAAGAAGACATGCATGCCTACCTAAAACTGGCCTTAACTCACTTTTTCCAAAATTAAACTTATACCACTTTCAAAAAAAAAAAAAAAGGCTCATATATTCTATAATGTAATTTATTACAGTACCACTTATTACAACACCGATCGACAAGTGTGAAATTCCGTCCGTGAATTTCATTCCAATTTCATTTCGTTTCCTGTTTCGCGAAACTCATTGGTATGCCCCATTCAGACGTCCGACGCCGAGAAAACCGCCATCGAAATCACAAATATACAATTGACCCATGTGCACATAACATGCGTTATCGACAGCCCCCCCCCCCCTCTGACGCCCTTCACCCGCGCAACGTAAATTCGTTTTATTTTCGCAAACTTCCGAAATGAGTTCATAGCTTGCAGACCGTGTGACATTAACCCCCCACTCCAACCCCTTCCTGTGTGCACCTATGCAATCGCGGTCGCATCCAAATGACGCCTATAAACCGAAACATTTCGCGAATACATATATCAGTATTCAAGATATTCTTATTATAGGCTGACTTCATTTCCATACCGTTACTGTGCGGTGTTTTCTTTCTTTTTCTCTCTCTCTCTCTCTCTCGACTTGGAAGATTACGTTGCCGGAAATACTTTTTAAGGGGGATCACCACTATCACGGCCGGGAAAATAAGCCTTTACTCTCTTTACAGTGAAAATATGATATTCAAATTGATTCCGGGTTCAACATCCGGAAAATAGAGATACATAACTCGAAATCAAGAATGATTCATTTCTTCCTGTATCGGAGAAAAATATTATGTAAGTATTATGAAAAATATTATGTTCGTACAATTGCAATTTCCAGACACAGAAAAGTGTGAAAAGATATTTTCACTGTAACATTAAAAATGCTGTAATGGTACAGTGTAACATTAACTTTGATAATTGTAAGAAAATCGTAATTCTTGTATATTATATTTGCATGTTTTCTTTTTTTTATAATTTATTGACGATATAGGAATGATACATAGATCTACAGTTTGCTTATGAGTCACAACTTCCGATATTAGTATTCGAGTATTTATATTTAGATTCGATAAACGTCTAAACTGCACGCACAAGACATTAATAAATCTTAAACAAACTTTCATGTATGTACATTTAGGCATAACCCCGACCTTCGGTAAATTTAGACTTGAAACAACATAAGACAGTAGATCTACCACAGATGTAGCTGATGGTTAATTTAGGTCTAATCGTTTCTACAGACATATATCACTGATATTTGTAATAATTTTCTTACATTCTATATCATTTTTGCTCAGAGAACAAATGTAATCTAACCTGAATATCATCTCACTTTAACACATAATATTATTTAACATCTCTTTCATTTAAAAAAATAGTTTTATACACAAAAAATAACGAATTGATTCATAATTAATTAAAATGTCAGAGCAATCTCAGTGTCCCTGTAACTGTTACCTCAAGAATTAAATTATAATATATTTTAACAATTCATTTTGTACAATAGGATATGCACTTTCATTTTTCAACATTAATTTTTGAATACCAAGTACGTCCTAGTACACGTATTTCTTTGTTCTAATGTAAATCAGAGTTCCAAATTAATAATAACATTTTTTAAACACTAATTCTTTACACGATACATTGTTATTAAGTAAAATTAATAATGTAAAACAAACTATAAGTAAATTATTAGTATTATTAAGTAAAGAAACAAATAGAAGTATTAGGGACACTGGCAGTAATTACGACATTAGCTAATTAATTACCCCTAAGTGACCCTACTTGATTAAATTTTCTTTCTCCGAATCAGTAGTACTGTATAATTTGCGATCC